AAGACCAGCAGCCGTCCAGAAATGATTAACCCTGCCTGCATGCCTCCTCCCCGACAACGTGGATGTCACCAAAGATGTCACCAGCCTCTCCCATCACCATGACAATGGCCACAGTGCCAGGGCTGCAGACAAACTGCAGTGATCAATAGAAGTCTCAAGTGGAGAGAGAAACTGAGAAAGAGAATTATGCGCCAAGCGGGTAGCAGAACCAAGAGGATTTTTAGCAATTTCTAGCAATGTTATAATAGCTTATTTATCTTCCCTCAGCGTTGATTAGGAAGCTGTAGTAAGAAAAAATGCAGGAAGCTGTTTTGTAAAAAACTAACAGCAGACATGTGGCTGCTGCTATAGTTGGGCCTTGGAGGGTGTTCCGGGAGCCAAAGAGGCTGAGAGCCCCTGGGCCCCCTGCTGCATGGGAACAACTACAGCTTCGGGTAGTGGATTTAACGATATCACACACATTTACTCTGGACTCTTAAATGGATTTTAACCTCTTACAGCTGTCCCTGTGGGATTGCAGGAGGCACTATGACCTGAGCCAAAATAGAAGCAGAGGTCACATATGATTAATTATAATTTTTCCTTAATTTAATTTCCTTACTTAATCCTTTTATCCATGATATAAATTCAACTTCATTTTAGTGATGACTTTTTAAAAGCATGTTATTACAATCGGTTACTGCTTTATTTAAAATTTATCATTTCAGTATTTATTAGTGAAATAAGTCAAACATTTTCTGCTTTATCTCTCCCTGGTTTGGGTATCAGAACCACATTATTTTCATAAAGAGTACGATACAGTACCTTTTTCTCATCTGTTTAGAAAAATTTTTGAATTATATTTCATTCTTGGAACATTCAAAATTCTTTTGAAACAAAGATTGAGATTCCCTTGTAAATTCATGTGGACAACCTAGGCCTTCAGGAGCAAGCCCCCAGTTCTATTGGCGAACAGGTTTTCTGGCTTTGTTCAGAATCTCATGTTTTTCTTATGTTCACATTATTGCACAAAGGCTCTCTGTGTAGCATTCTAAAATTGTATCTACAGGTTATGCAACAAGTTGGGTAAAATGCGCAGCAGTCCCTCATACTGAGAAGAGGTAGATGGGGGGTAGTCTACACTCTTGGAGTGAGCGTCCATATCTAAGTACAGCTCAGAGTTGGGAGGGAGAGTAGAGGTAGGAAGCACCAAGGGAATAGGCGATCCCTCCTCAGCTTGATGATGTCTCCCTCTTAAAGAGAAGCTGGAAGGTTGAAGTCCCTCAGTACAAGGGTAGCTACTGGGGAAGAGGCTGAGTCAGGTAGGAAGGTCTGGGAATCAATAGGTAAGACCCACCATGGTCTGTACTGGGTGAAAAGTCATAACAGATTCAGCTTCAAAGGAGGAACGGCCAGCAGTGGTGTGGGGAGCATCCGAGGACAGCTGGTGCTGGAGAGGGTGGGAGGGATGCGGCATCCCCTGGGGAAGCCAGATCCCACTGAAACCTGCCCAAGGGCACAGTGGAAGAGGTGGGCAGAATTGGAGTGGGGCATAGGGAGGGGTAGGGTCTGAAGAAACTATGTAGGAAACAGTTTATTCCCAGCCATCCTGAGGGTCTGGAGTTTACATGGCATGGGAGGTTGGAGGAGAGATGGTGGCAGGTGGCAGAGCCTCACAGAGGAGTTAGAGTGCTCAAAGATTCATAATTCTTCTTTGGAGATTTCTGTAGATTCACCTGCTAGGTAGGCTGGTAGTTTGAGCAAGACTGTGTGACCTTTGGTAAGTCCCTTACCGTCTCTGGGCCTCAGTTTCCCCATCTGTAAAATAAGGAGGCTGGGATAAATGGCCTCTGAGTCCCCTTCTGATTCAGTAGTAAGTTTATGGTGCTCTATGAAGGCAGTTGGATAGAAATTACTTTCTCTCTCCATTCTCAGACTTTTCTAATCTTTATCTGTTTGTCTCAACGTTTGTACTCTTACGTCTTGGTGCCATATGCTCTTCAGTGGCTGTCAAAGAACTTTTTGATCCTGTGAGTGACAGTTGCCAGGGGATCATTTGCCACACGTTAATCAGGAAATTCCTCACAGCCCCAAGAGCCTAGAGCAGGCTCATAATAAGCCGAAGATGAGGAAAATGGCTTCCCTTCTCCCTGGGAGAAGACACTCGGGTAGTTTCTCACTAGTAGACTCAATGTGGCAGCCATCTCTTTCTGTCCTCTTTTTGAGGGGCGGGGGAGGCAGGGGGCAGAAAGATGCAGGCAGCTTTGTAACCCGGAGAACTTCTTAGTGTGGGAGATTTGGATACCCAAGGATTTTCCAGGAAGTCATGGAAAGCTTTCATCCACTTGACTGAGCTCTACCATGAAGGGATGCTACAGTGTATTGGAGAGCTTCAGCTTCCTAGAAGTAAAGCCAGGATGGTGTCACTTGTAAATCAAGTGAAGCCACAGGGAAAGTCAGCCCTGGTCTGGTCGTCAGAATATTCCTGCAGGAGGGGCTCGGGTGTGAAGATTCCCACGTGTCCAGCCGGGAGGTGCCGTCGCCAAGCACACCCACCAGGGTCTGGCTCTGAGTTTGAAACCAGCCAACCAGGATGAGCCTCCATTACCTTGACTCGGGCTATGTAGGAAATTGGAGACTGAGAACAGGAGCTAGTGTATTTGTGAGAGAGTGGTCTGTACTCCCCAATGTTCAGCTTTCTCTCCATCTATCTTTTTTAAAATTGGGTTTTCTGTAGCATCATGTCTTTGTTTAAGATGAGATGTTCTGACCAAGAGTCATGCTGCTAAAATAGTTCATGGAAAAGCCTAGTGTTTACGCCCCTGGGGGAAACTTGACTAGCTTCATTCATTGGTTCGTGTGTCCATGCATGTGCACATACGTACAGATCCTGGGGGCAGGAAGCAGTTAGAAGAACACAAGCATTGAGCAACTCTCTGGGTGTTTCCAATGACCTCTTCTTACCAGACTCACCAACGGTGCCCGCTTTCAAGCACTCCGCCATGGTTCTGACAGATTCTTCCAGGTCGATGGGTCCACCTTTTGTCCTTATGCCGTGACCAAACAGTTGTTGATGACTGAGGCTCTTGTCTTCTTCACTTGAGCCTCTTCCAGGTCTCTCAGGCCTTTGCTTCTCAGATGGGGGGTGGAGAGGGGGCAGTTGAAAAGCCCCGAGCCCGCTGTTGCTAGTAGAGACAGTCAGCCTACTGGGGGATGGAGTGGGATGCACTGCTGGGGGGACCCTCTCCTCCCACAGTGATCGCTCGCTTCCCTGCAGACCCTTGTACAGGCACTGAGAGATGAAGTGACTGCCCAGGGCCAACAGCAGCCCTGTTTGAAGTGGGGCTTGAACCCAGGTCAGCCATCTACCCTCTCCTCCACGGTGGTTCAGTGACTATTTGTGTTCTGTAGAAGTTGAAGATGTGATACTCTGTAGTTTTCCTAATGATGATCTGGCTTTAAACTTTGCAGGGGATTTGACAGACAGCATTTAGGAGCCCATGTTTCTGAAATCTAGGCGAGTGTTCTTTTGGGAGTCTGAGAACAGATGTGTTTATGTTGGCGCCAGCCTCCCAGCATGTTTTTTTTTCATTTTTATTTTTGTAGCTTGCTGGGACTTGGGGGAAGAGAGACCCTGAGGGTGTTTGGAACAACAGGTCACCTCTAATTTAGTTTTTCATTTCTGAGTCTAGAGTTTCTTCTAAGTATAACAGAAAGAAGATGCTGTGACTCCCTAGCAGTCTGTGGATGGGCCAGCATCTGTGATTGTGTTCCCTTCTTTACGTGGGTGTCATCGCCTGCCTAGCACCCTGTGGCCGTCCCTCTAGGGATGAGCCGACCAGATGGCCCTGGAGGTGCGGGGGGCAGGGGGAGGAGAGGGAAGAAGAAATCACTTGGATGGGGGGGGAGGGCAGGAGAAAGACCAGCAGGAACCATGTCCTGGTTAATGATTCACTGGGGCTCCTTCATCCTGGGAATCCCAGATCACGGACACTTTGGAGAATAGTTCTCTGGGCAGCTTAGGCAGATGCTGTGGCCTCTTTGCTGATCACAGCTCCACAGTGGTGCAATCTCGTCTTCCTCTGACCTAGCTAGGCCCCTGTTGTGTGCCCCTCCGGCCCCGGTGTCCCCTGCCTCCCTGCCTTTGCTCAGCTGTCCAGTGTGTTCAGTGCCTACTGACCCTGGCATCACAGTAGAAGGCTCATTGCTAAAGTTAGTGTAGAGGCCGAGTAATCGATGACTCTGATAAATATCTGTCTTAAACTTTGAGGAAAATGTTATAAACTGTCATCTGTTTCTAAAGTCCCTTCATTTCCTCTTTTTTTCTGCCTTCTAGAATAATTATGCATTCTGAAGGTCAGGAGTTAGGAGCAGGAAGTAGCCATTCACTTCCCTGGGCCTACTGTGTACAAGTCCCTGCCCCAGCTGCTAAATACATTAAAATAGAAGTGGAAACCAGTTCTCTGCCTCAAGGAACTCAGGTTATACACATGGATGCATAACCGACCCTGAGACACCTTGAGGAAGGAGGGAGATCTGAGAGCCGGGAGTGAGGAGGATCAGAAAGACTTCCTTAGGAGTCATCACCTGCGCTTAGTCATAAAGTGAGACAGGGTCTCCAGGAGACGGAGCTGAGGAGCAGGGGACAGACACAGAGTTTGGCTGGGCCATGTCTGGCAGCTGGGTGGGAGCCACCAGGCCTCTTGGCTCATGGTTAAACCAGAGGAACTTTGGCTGCTCTGGCATAGTCATGTGGTCTCGTTTATCCATGGAAGATAGTAACGGAATAAGGCCCTCCCTTAGTGATTCCCTGCTAGCTGCTGAAAAGGGGGTGGGCTTGCTTCTCCCTAGGATGTTCGCATCTGACAGGCTTGGGTACTGCAGGCTGCTGTGACTTCTTCTAGATTGGTGATCCCTCCTCCCGGAGGGCACCTTCAGGAGTGTGGGGCGTCTCTGTGGCCAGGGGGCTTCCCTGAGTTTCCCCCTCCTTCTAACCCACCTGTCCTCTCCTTCTTTTGCAGAGTTACATCCACGGGAGCAGCCAGGCTCAGTTTGTGGCCGAGTCACACATCATTCTCCTGCTGAGTATCCTTTAAGCTGGGAATGGGGAGGAAAGGCGGGCCAGAGCCAGGCCCCCAACCGGCCTTGCAGCCAGTAGCCCTGGGTTGGCTGCTTGGAACTGGGCCCACCTGACCTGGGGCAAGGCCCCTCCCTCCATGTTGCTCGTTGGTGAGTGAGGGATAATGGTCACACCTGCAGCCCCCGGTGAGGAGCAGCTGAGCCCCTTGAGCAGAGGCTGATGATTTGTGGGTTCCCCCTCCCCACCCCCACCGCTGTTACCCCAGACATACCCCATGATTGAATGGCTTTCCTCTTGTTAAGTGTGGTCCTGGCCTCTGTCTCTGGTGACCTGGCCATCAAAGGTGGACTCCCATGGCCCCCTCTTCTCTGCTGTTTTTCCTTGTTGGGCTGGGGCTGCTGAGGAAATGCAGTGAAGGAGCAGAAGGGTCAGTTGTTTGGGCAAGAACAGAGGAAACAGGCTTTTATACAGTGCTTGCTCTGGGCCCGGCACTGTCCTAAGCACTCTACAAACACTACTGTTTGATCCACATAACAACCCTGCTGTGTGGCTGCTATTATTACCCTCATTTTACAGTTGAGGAAACCAAGGCCTACAGGCAAGTGACTTGCCCAGGGTCACAGCTAGTCAGTGTGTGAGGCTGGATTTGAACTCAGGTCTTCCTGACTCCAGGCCCAGCCCTCTGGCCACTTCATGGCATATAGCCCTGAAAGTGCCACATAATCAATCGATTAGATTGCCCTCAAGATCACAGTTCTGCCCTTTCCTGCCTCCTGAGAGGACCCTACAAAGCCACGCAGGTCATGTCCAGATGCAACCCTGTGCACACGTGCACATCTGAGAAGGTGCTTGGCCCGATGCAGAAAGTGTGTTTGCTCTCCTCTTACTGGAGCCAGGTTCTGTCTGGCGGATTGTTCTCACAGAATATTCTTCCTTTAACATTCTCCTTCTTTGGACGTCTGTACTATGAGCAGGTAGTGCTAGAAAAGGTGGAAGTTGAAGTCAGTGACCGTGCTGATCACTCTCAGTCTCCTCATGAGGGTCTAGGGTTGTTTTACCATCTAATTTCACTTATCTTTAAACTGATAAAACCCTTTTCCCCTCATCATCGATAAGAGAATGTAACCTCTTAGCTGGTGCAGTCGAGAGAGGTGCTGTATGTAATGTCGACATGTTTGTCACCGTTTGGGAGGAGGTTCAGAGCCTCTGGCTGTGATATGTAAGTTATGCAAATAAGAGCTGCAGTTTGACGTGGGAGCGGCTCCACATTTTTATTTCTTTATGTGAGGGAAGTGATTGATAAGCTCAATGGAGAAACTATGAAATGACACACAGGATTTGGGAGTGAAATGATTGGAATATTTATAGCTGCCCATGAACTACAGCTGATTAGACTGTGGGAACGCTAACTATATTTCTGTCCTAATGGTAATGATTATTTTTAAACCAAATGAGTTCAGCTGGCAATTTCTTCTTTACTTAGAAAAGGAGAAATGGTGAAACGAAAAGGAGTTTTGTCAGTTTTCTGACTGAGATAAGGGAAGGTAGACACATTTTTAAGGCCCTCTCCAAGGGGCCGTGGTGCCTGTTCCAGGGGATTTGTTAAGTATTCCAGCTTCTGAGGGAATTAGATGTTTGGGAGGAGGAACAGGAGAAGGATTATGAGGTTTTTAAGGAGAAGGAATCACAAGAGAAGGGGATCAGTCTGGAGAACTTTGAAATTGTGAAGATACCAGATTTATTTTGGGGAGGGGGTAGTGAGGGAGAAATTGAAGAGAAAACAAAAGGCTGGGTTGTGCTAGTGCTGAAGGACTAGAGGGATGTTAAGAGAAGGAAGAGAAAGACCCTGGGAGAGGGGCCTGAGGAGGAAAGGGATGAAAAGGAGGAGGGGAAGCTGCTGGGGCAGGAGGAGGAGGGGGAAGCTGAGGAGGAGCTGAAAGGAAGTGGAAGGTGACTGTCCAGAGCCTCGAGGAAAAGGGAAAGTGACCCCTCTGGCCCATCCAGGCATTATTCCTGTAGAGCACAGGACCATCCACCTCTTCCTTTCCATCAGCCCAGCCACCACTCCAGCTCTACAGCCTCCCACCCAAGTTGTTCCCACCTCTTCTAAGGCCTCTGGGTGATGCAGTGGGTAGAGTACTGGGCCTGGAGTCAGGAAGACCTGAGTTCAAATCCTGCCTGTGAGACCCTGGGAAGTCACTTTGCCGTTGCCTGCCTCAGTTTCTTCAGTAGTAAAATGGGGCTAATAATAGCACCTGCCTCTCAGGGTTGTTCAGTGACCAGCCCATAGAAAGCCCTTAACAAATGCTTGTCTTTGCATTGTGCCCTCTCGAAGCTCTTACTCCATAATTGACAAACATCCTGTCCTCCTTATTCCCTGATTAACAGAACTCCCTTTTCACCTTCTGGCTCTCACTGAGGCCTGGCTCCCCCAAGGTGACATGGATCCCTGACTCATCGGTCATGTTGGGGGTTGGAATACCTTTGGTCCCCCTCTCCCCTTCCCAGCTTGGGAGCCCTTCCTCCTGGAAGCTCACAGCTTCCCAGTTGGTCCCTTGCTCCCCATTCTGCTGGCTGTTGGCTGCTGCCCCTGGGTGTTCTGCATCCTTTCTCAGCATGTTCGGTGCCTGGACCGTGTTGTGGTCCCCGCCGTTTGCCCATAGATGGGAAGCTGCTCAGGAGCATATTCTCCTTTTGTCTTTGTGACTGCGGTGCCTGGCCTGTGGTGTCTCATGAAGGCTTTTTGAATGCCGTGCCTGGATCAAGGCATCCCCCCCGTTCCACTCCCTACCCTGCTGATTGCTAACTCAGAGCCAAGAACGAAGGCAGCATCCACAGGTGTCAGCACTTCCTCCTTGGGGGGAAGCTGTGGAGCTGGCATCCCGTGAGGCTGCCGTCCAGGCAGATCCTCGGGGATTCCAAGCTCCCCCTCCCTCCTGGTGTCTGGAGAAGAGGCAGCAAGGATGCTGCCTACAGGCCGGACCCATCTTTGTGACCCAGGACAGCTGTCTCTTGGTCCCTCAGTCCTTTGTCTCTGTGAGAGTCAGAGCCATCCCAGGGAGAGAAGGGAGAGAAGGGAAACCTTGCAGCTCAGGCCTTTCCCTCTGGAGCCGCTGCCCTTCACCTGATATCACCTCTTGTCACCCTCTTTGCCTCCTTGGCTGCCTTCTGCCCCCCTCCCCAATGCCTTTCCTGTTGGTCCCCCTGTATGTCCTTCCCTCCATGCTCGTACACATCTGACAGAGAGTAGCCGCCATCCTCCTTCCCACCCACAGCCATGCCAAGCCCTCTTCTGTCTCTGCTTCTTAGGCTCCTTCTGCCCGTGCCTCGGTCGTGACATTTGCTCTGCCCTGCTGGTATCCTGGTCCCGTGGCTCACCGTCTGATCACTGTCCAGAACACTTCTCCTCCAGGCCTCTGCCTGGGGGATTCCCCAGCTCCCATCATGGCCCTGTTTAAGTCCCACCTTGTGGGGGGGCCTTTCTTGAGCCCCCAGCAGAGCCCCATTGCTCGTGCCCTCCACCTGCCTTCCCTTCCCTGCCCTTCGCGCTGTCTGTGTCTTGTTTGTACGCAGGAACTCCTCGAGGGCAGGCCTGGGTTTGCCTTTCTTTGTGTCCTCGGTACCTAGCACGAGTCCTCTGCTGTGTCATCATCTGCCTTCTGCCCCCTTGGCCTCTCCCAAGCCAACTTATGGCACGCGTTCATTCACTGCAGCCGGCCCGAAGGCCTCTGAGCCCAGCCCCAGAGCCACATCTCAGAGACTTCCTAGACCGAGCACATTCTCTTTGTCCAGAAGCTCCCCCACTTCCGCACTCCTCTCTTTCTTTCTGGGGCACCATCAGCCTTGTGCCCTGGCTTTCCCCTCAGGCCACATATTGCCACCTCTGTGATGTCTCCCTGTCTCAGCCCTTCCCCAGGCTGTCAGCCTCTGAGGGGTCAGGCCCCCATCACCTCTCACCTGGCGTAGGGCTGGCCTCCTGGCTCTCCCTTCCCGATCGTCCTCTACACCTTGGGCCCTGCTCCTCTGCCTGGCGGACTCCAGTGGTCCCTTCATACATCTGGGATCCAGTAGACACCTTGGCCTTCAGAGCCCTTCACCAAGTGGCCCCAGACTTACTTTCTTTACTTATTACGAATGATTCCTGGTGGTGGATACCATGGGCCCCAGGTGGTGCCCATGCCTAGGATGCCCCCTCGTCTTATCTGCCTCTCAGAGTCTCAGTCTTGTGTCAGGCTCCGCTTTGTCCGTGACGCTTTCCCTAATTCCCCCAGCTGCTGGTGTCTGCCCACCCAGCTGTACTGTTCAGATGTTGTGTGTCCTGTGCTCTCCCCGCATTGGATCGTCACTTCCTTTGGCCTGGGCTGGACACTGGCTCTGTAAATGTGTGTTCATCGATTGAGTGTGAGCCCTGAATCCATCCCTCTTGGAGTGTGTTCAGTCTGGCCCTGACACCTGATTGTCCCTCTTCTGTTCTCCAGCAGCCAGGTGGACAGTTCTGGGCTGGGCCCTGGTGGCTGTGCCGTCCACATCCCACACCCCACACCCCCCGGGGCTCATTGCCTTCTCTCTGTAAAGTTTGTGAGCAGGCACCCAAGAACCCAGGTCCTTCTCTGTGCCAGGAGCAGATCTTCTCAGGCAGTCTGACCCCCCGGACTAGAGGGATTCAGAATATCTGAGGCTGGTAGGCCATTGTTATCAGCCGAACACCACCAGATATTTATTCACCGTGCCCTTGGGAAGGTGGCCATGTGCTTGCTTGTTGGTCAGGAGATTTCTTCTTCAGGAGAGCATTGTCCTCAAGCCTTGGGAACCCGGGGGAGCCTGTCCTTTCTCTGAATTCTGAGGTATGGATGGTACACACAGGTACAGCAGGGGGTCGTGCCCTGGGGCCAGGACATGGGCGCCTTGATGCCTGTGTTATAGCATGGTGAGTTTCCTTTGTAATCTCCTGCCCACGGGCTTCCCCAGATGGCAGGCCGAAGGGATCCATGATGCTAAGAGGCTTGAGAGCCCTGATGTCCAGACAAATCCAGATTGTCTGATGGATGGGGATTGGCTGGGTATGTGTGCGCGCGCGTGCACATGTGTATGTGTTCGAATGTTCCAGCCTCTACTGTTCTGGGTCTATGGCTGTCAGGGAGAGTCAGTGACGTATGAGTCTCATGGTTTTTCCTGGTCTCTGGTTTTCTGCTGTTTCCTTGACAACAGCCCTAGATGCTGCCATCACCATGGGGATGGTCCTCCTCAACGAAGCTGCCACCTCCAAAGGGGATGTGGGCAAGAGAAGAAGTAAGTGATCCCCTGTAGAATCAGCTGGTGCTCAGAGGCCTGGCCAGGGGCCAGTACATCTGTGACAGAGCTCAGGAGGGGCCCTCCCCTAGCCTCACTTTTTCCATATGTGGGAACGGGTGATAAGAGGGGAAGCATGGCCAGAGAGGCCCTGTTGGGTAGTGAACCAGGCCTGGGGCCCTCACCACCCTTGAGTGAGAGCCTGCGTCCTGTGGGATTGCACCTTAGCCAGACCTACATGGGAAATGGAATCCCTGCCTGCCTGCTCATGTGAGAGGACAGAATCAACATGGGAATGCCGGGGAACAGGAATTAGCAGTAGAAATAGGCCCCGGCCTGTCTGAGGTAGTAATGAGTCGTAACAAGAAGTATCGGTTGACAGCTCCCTCGGGCACTGTGGTAAGGCCAGTGGGGTAGAATGAGTAGAGAAGCATTTATTTAGTGCCTCCTGTATGCCTGGCACTCTGCTGGTCCTTGCCTTCCAGGAGCTCACAGTCGGGGGAACACCACGTACCAACAACTGTGTGCACATGGGCTATGGACAGTGGAAAGTGGGAGGTCATTCCAGGGCTTGGGGGTCGGGAGATGGCAGGCCACATACAGGGGACATCCAGGAGGCCAGTGTCCCTGGCCACAGAGAGGGTGAGAGAGAGGGACTTTCCAGCCACAGTTTGAGGAAATGAGGGTTTGCCATTCCCGAGAGTCTCCCAGAGACCTGAGCTGATTCCTAATAGAAGTTTATAAGAGAAATGCCCACAAAGTGGACATCCGTTCCTGAGTCATTAAAGTTGTAAGTCAGGTGAAGACAAGAAGTCACAGAATGACGGAGATGAAGGTCCAAGGAGATCCAGAGACGACAAACCAGACCACGTGAAAGAAGCTGCTCCCTTTGTTGTCTCTGGCTCTCCGGTGCCTAACGTGGTGCCAGGCATACAGTAGGTGCTCACTAAGTGCTTTGGCTTACATCATTTGTCACATGTGTCAGCACTTCTCACTCCATTATGTTCATTTTGGGGTTTTTTTTTTTTTTTGGCTAGGCAATGGGGTTAAGTGACTTGCCCAGGGTCACACAGCTAGTGAGTGTTATGTGTCTGAGGCCGGATTTGAACTCAGGTCCTCCTGAACCCAGGGCCGGTGCTCTATCCACTGCGCCACCTAGCTGCCCCCTCTCACTCCATTATGCAGAAAGTTCGGAGGCCACCTCTTCTGTGATTGAGGAAAATACTGTGGCTCAAAGATGGGGCTGGCTGAGTCTAGCACTATGGCCTCTGTGAGTCGTGTGGGAAGAAACAAAACTCCGTCGGCTTGTGACGTGAGGGTCTCTGTCCATCCAGGGCAGGCAGCAGAGCTGGTGAAAGCAGGTCTGACCATCAGCGGCTTGGGCCAGTGTGTGGCCAGAGAAGGGGCTGCTAAGGACAGCTGCATAGATTCCGACTGTTTGCTTTTCAGTTGCAGGGGCCTCTCACCCCTGGAGGCAGGTGGCCCATAGTCACCTGCCCTTCAGAAAAGGGGGGCCATGAGGGGCTGGCTGTCCTCCCCCCACCCCCCACCTGCCTGCACTTACCACTGTACCCTCTCTCTCTCTCTGTCTCCAGTCATCTGCCTGGTGGGCCTGGGCCTAGTGGTGTTCTTCTTTAGCTTCTTGCTGTCCATCTTCCGCTCCAAGTACCATGGATACCCCTACAGGTGAGCCTCGTGCACCGCCGCCCTCCCGCCGCCAGGGCCTTGGCTTTGCTTTGAAGCGCAGGCGCCTACTGCGAGACATTCAAACCCGCTTGTTCCAATGCTGAGCCAGCCTCACTCTGGCCCATTCAGTGAGCACATGTGCTGGGCGTATGGACAGTGCAAATCCCCTACCCCAGCCCACCCCTGGCACTGCACCCCTGCCTGCAGACCACCCACCAGAGAGACTCCAGGGTGTACCTAGGCACTGGACACAAGCGCACACGCGCACGCACACACACACGTGCACACACACACATACACATACATGGAGCTGTGTAGGAGTATGTCTGTTTAACCACTGTGGGGACAGCTTATAATTCGTAAGTAGCCGTGGCTGAGTATTTTGGCAATCTGTGATTTCTTCAGTTTGATCCCAGCTGCTTTGTGGAGGATGAGCAGAAGTACAGAGGGCCCTGAGGCAGCAGACCCCACCCCTCAGCAGCCATCACAGCAGTCCTGGTGTGGGATGATGAGGGCCTGTCTCAGGCTGGGGGCAGCATCAGAGGAGAGGAGGGGGCATAGTCGAGAGCTCTTGCAGGGGAAGCATACAGGAGGTGCCGCTGAGGGGAAATCCACAGGCCTTGGCACCATCTTGGAGAGTGGTGGTGTCCCCCCACTAATAGGGGAAGCAGGAGCGGGGTGAGGATTTAGGGGGAAAGAGAATGAGTTCTGGAAGTGTATTCATTGAATGTAGACCAGATTCAGTGAGTGAGTAGTTGGTTGAGTGCCAGGGAAGAAGTGAAGCGAGCCAAGCAGAGAGGCCCAAGGAGTGTGGAGAGAAAATGGCGGATGCGGAGGGTCAGCCGAGACCTTGGCAGCATGAGAAGACCCCGAGGTGGGGGTGCTAAGTATTCTGGGGAGCCTAGGAGAGCCAGGTCGTTACATTCACCTAGTGATCCATCTGCCCCCAGAAGGGCAAAAGAAATGCCCCCCTTTGTTTGAGGTGGAGGCCTCTGGGTGCAGAACACTGTGCGTGCTCAGAGTGCCAGAGGATAGGATTGGGCAGAAAAGCTTATCTGGTAAAATTGAGATATCAAAAACAAAGGTACTGAAAGATGGCGTGTCAAGGGATGCCAGGCTTTCTAGTCTCAGAGGTTTTTTCCAGAGATGGTGGAGTTCACAGCCTGAGACATATTTGAAGGGGCTCTGGGAAATCCTAAGCCTGCTGATGTCACTCCAGCGGATTTGGCCTGGTTTGTACTCTTGATGCTGGCTAGGAGCGAAATTGGAAAGGAAAGGATGTGTTCTGAACTAAAAGTGATAGAAAGGTAAACTTTAAAGTATATCGATATCCATCCATCTACCCCCCTTAGCCATCCATATAGACGCACGCGTGCGCGGACACACACACACACTCCCGCACCCGCGTCTGTGGGTCACTCGCTAGAGGCCAGCTGGCCACATTACACAGGGCCTTCTCCCAGGCACTAGAGATGGAAGGACCATGAAGACCTCTGCACTGCCCTCAAGCACTTCCATTCTTTTAAAGGCACTGAGTGCACAAACAAAGAATGAATCACACAAAGTTAGTCTGAGAGAGAGACAGTGAGGGGCGTGGAAAGTGGCATAAGTTTCCAATATAATGAAGGTCGTAATTCTCTTGAATCCAGCTGGCTGGGCTGAGGGTGAGGACACAGTCCTTGGGACCATTCCCGGACCTGTCCCACTGTCACAGCAGCTTCCCTCCACCTCCCCCCTTCCAGGTCATCTTGTCCACTCATTTCCTCCCATCCCTCCATATGCTGACTGTGTCTAATGGGAAGTTTGTTAGGCCTCTCCCTCCTTCCTCGAAGCCAAAAAGTCTGTCCTCAGAGAGCGTCGCCCCCAGGCTGCCTCCTGCTGCAGAATTCTAGGCCCTAGGAGCCTCTGTCTTTCCCTCACTGTTCTGCGGTCTGCTTCCCCAAAATCTAGGGCACTTGTCAGACGCCACCTGCTTTGTCTCATGATAACATTTCGAAGAGAAGGGCCCCTTCCTACGAGGCTACTCTGATCTACAGTAGGACTCCCCCGTCCCTTCCTCCATTTATGAGAGCATGAAGTGATTGTCAAAGAAAGTCAAGAAGCTAATTACTGCTCTGCTTTTGGAAGAGAAAGAGATAGAAGAAAGGCAGGGGGAGAGATGAAGGGAGGGAAGGGAAGAGAGGAGAGAGTGGGGAGACAGGAGGGGAGACAGACAGACAGATACGTATGCAGGGAGGGTTACAGACAGAGGAAGAGAGGGAGACAGACGGCGAGAGATGCGTGCCGGGAGAGCTCCAGACGGGGCTCCTCGGAGCCCCTATCAGTTGGGTGCCCTCCGGCCCCTTCCTCTGGCACCAGCCTGGCCTTTCCCTTCTCCTTGCACTTCCTTGGAGCTTGCCACACGGGCTGTGCACCCGGGACCTCCTTCCTGCAGTGACACCCCCCTTGACCATGGTTGGTCTGGTCCCGACCTTCTGCAGGTAGATTCTGGGCTCCATCGCCGCTGTCTCCTCTCTGACCTTCCTGGGCTTCACGCTCATGCCCAGGGCATTCGAATTCCGGATTTTTGTCTCCTTTCTGAACATCTCTTCTGATGTTCTTCCTCATACAGTTCAGTGAAACAAGCATTTATGAATATGTGTGAGATGCTGTGTTTAGCTCTGGGGGTGCAGCAGCAAGACTGACCCAGGCCCAGGCCTCCCAGAGCCTCCAGGAGGGGTAAATGCTGAGTGCACAGAAGCTCAGCCTTGGCCTCAGCAGCCCGTGAAACAGAAAAACGACTTAGTCCGTACCAAGTACATCTTAGGGTGTTCCAGGACGTGGCCTCTCCTGTGGGGGTCAGGGGCATTCCTGATAGGAACCCCGCAGGAAGGCAGATGGAGGGGAGGGGAGGGAGCAGCCAGGAAATCATTTGGGCAGCCTGGAGAGCATTGTGTGTTGTGGAAGTTGTGTAAAGGAAGCCTTGAAAAATGGGCTTTGTATGTCTAACAGGGTCTAGATTTTATCCTATAAAATCTTTGTCAGTAGGAAGTCACCCCGACTTCTTGAGCAGGGGAGGGATGTGTTGGGGCCGGCTCTGTAAGAAGGGGATGTGGAGCACAGATGGGGAGGAGAGAGCCTCCAGCAAGGAGGCCAGCCTGGACTAGGGCAGGGCCTGTGTGGGAGAGGCAGCCAGCCTGGACAAGGGTAGGCCGAGGGAGGGCCAAGATTGCAGGCTGACTCCAAGGTTACCAGCCCTGGGTGGGGGAGGAAAGACGGCAGTGTGGCATCCAGCTGAGAGGCCTCAGCTGTGGACCTGAGGGACCAGGGGCGCAGTCTGGGCTGTTTGGGTGACTTGGGTCTAGTCCTTATAGGCGCAGTGATCTCCAGATGCTCCAGGGTGAATAGTCTAAGTTACTGGGAAGAAGTCACACTGAAAACGGAATTTAAATGTTGGGACTCCTGCAACCGCCCCCCTCCCCCCCAACCATGCTCGGCCCAGGTGCATCTCCAAGGCCTCTGCTCCCATGCATCTTAAACACACTGTAAGAAGGAACAAAAGGCCTTAGGATTGCGGGTAGCAGCCATCCCTCCCCTGGGGCATCAGCGAGGTCCAGAAAAAGCCCTGGCAGCCTGAGTTTGTACACAGGGCTCTTCAGGACAGAAGGGACTTGACTTTTGGACTGTTGCTCTCTACACAGATGCCCAAGGTTAGCCCAAGGCTGAGAAGGTCCCAGATAGGAGCAGAGGGACCTCAGGAAAAGGCACTGCATGTCCCGGGGACAGGTTGTGTGAATCACCGCATCTTCTGCCTGTAGTGGAGGGAATCTAGGCATTGGGGAGGACAGTTTCTGGTATTTATAAACTTGAGCGTTCTCCACACCATGGCAGAATTACCCATTATTTCTGTACTAACCCCAGGGCGGAGGAATTAAGTGGCATCTTCTGTCTTTTGCACATGAGATGGTGCCATGCTCACGGCCCTTTCCCTGGAGACCGCGAAGGTCCTCAGTACCCGCTTTTCTAATGCCAGGGTTTGAATCAAACCAGAACCAGAATGATCTTCTTTTCTCCTTTCCCTGTGGTCCTATAGTGTGCTAGGAGGCCTACAGCAGGAGACAGATGGCGTAGGCCGGAGTGCCAGCCCTGTCACGCATAGCGGTGTGCCCTGGGCCAGCTGGCCACGTTACTCCTCAGGGTCTCACTTTCCCCTTTTGGCACTCATTGCTCTCCCAGAGGCCTGCTGGACAGTTCCCCCAGATGTCCCTAAGACACACCATGTGTCTGTCTTATGTCTCTCTCCAGAGTGGAGCCCTTCTTTCTTACCTGTACTCATCTGTGCATTAAGCTTCTCATTTCTGGTGTGGGTGCCACTCTCCTGGTGTCCCTGAGGAGTCCTTCTTGACTGTGCCTAATGACTCATTCCCGTGCCCAGTGAGGCACCCAGGCCAGCCAGTTCTGCCTTCTCATGCTCATGCAGCCTCTAGCCTGGTCCAAGCCCTAATCACCTTTTGCCAAGACCGTGGCCGTAGCCTCCCCAGAGTCTCCCCACTTCCAGTCCATCCTCCTCGCAGCTGCCAGCATACACCCCCATCTGCCTGTCCTTCCACTGCCTGGGAAGTGCCTCGGATGCTCCATAACCCTGCTGTCGGATGCAGCGCTATGCTCATCATGCTGACCCTTGGCTCACCGGACAGCATCTCCTGCCACGGTGCTTTGGGGTTCATGGTCCCTTGCCCAGAGCATGCCCTCCCACCCCCCGCACCTGCGGTGCCTGTTTTCCTTCAGAGCAACAGCTCAAGTGCCCACCCCCCACCCCCGGCACTGCTCTTTCTCACGTCCTTCCTGGGGTGGATGGCTCCCCACCTGCTCCAGATGGTCAGCCTCTGAAAGGCAGCACCTTTCATTTTTGTCTTTTGTTTCTCCAGCGCCTAGCCCAGTGCCTGGCCCCTAGGTGAGTAGCGCCTCGTCACATTTATTTAATTCAGGCTGCCAAAGGATTACCTCAGAGGTCCCTCCAGCTTTGAAAGCATCGTGGCTTTGTTCTCGATTCCATCAGTAGGGTATTGGAGGAATGGGATGGGGTTTTTGGCAAGTGCCCTCTCACATCCCAGAAGTTGGCATTCAGAGAGCCTTCCCAGGTTGGCACTGTGAGAAAGCTGAGGGACGCCCTGGCCCTCCCACAGACCCTGCTCTCCTGACATTGTCCGGTGCTGGCCAGGGCTGCCCAGAGATGCTCTGTACTCCAAGAGCACCCAAACCCAATGAGGAGGATGGCACCTGCCTCCGATTATCCCGAAGGGAAGTAAGGACTGAGACCGCGTCAGAGCTAGAGAGGTGAGGAGACTAGAAGGTCCCTCAAGTGTGCCCAGGCCACTCAGGCCAGGAGGCCTTGTTCACTTATTGCCCCACAGAGGCTTCCTGGCTTTCACAGTAGTAAAAAGAAATTCTGCTTTAGACTGTGTGGGCAGAGCAGAATATCAGGCCTTAGCTCACTCGGATCAGCTTGGCCTGGGTTCGCGTCCCTCTCTGCCTGTCTTGGTGGTATTTGAAGTAACATCTAGGGGTGGGGACACTCTGTGTGGCCCCCACTGCGGGGGGGGGTAAGTAACAGTGGGGCAGAGAGAACTGGGAAGAAACTTAGGAAGAGATGGATGTCTTTCTGTTTGGAAACTGAGAAACGGGACAGAAATGCTTCAGTCCATCGAGAGCTCTCTGGCTGTCAAAAGGATGTGGTATCAATACAGAACAAGGAGGGAAATCCATTGAGATCACACAGCCTGCTCATCTGCAAATGCACCCTCTCGTTCAAGACTCTCTTTTAACAAGGAGAGCGTTTTAGCACTGGTGTTACCATGGGGGCTGGAGAAGTTTGTTTGGGCCCCTCTGCCTGTGGGAAGGGGTCATTGACATGGCTGGGCTACAGCAGACTCAAAACATTTCACTCACATTTCTTTTTTTTTTTTAATAACCGCCCCATTCACAAGAGGGGAAGGTACTGCAGTGGTGTGTCAGTGTTTCTCCTTTTTTTCCTGAACCCCGTGAATCTCTCAGAGCCCAAGGCTGGAGTTCCACTAGGGATGAGCCAGGGGGTGGGGGTGGGGGGGGCTGGGGAGGCGAGGTGTTCGAGAGAAGAGAACTGTCGTGTTGAACCGCTTAACTGGAGGGTCAGAGTTGGAAGAGAGGAAAAGGGTGCCAGACCAGGGCTGCTGGCTTGGGACGTTCTGGAGGTTGAGTGAGGATGGTGGCCAGGGAAGGGTGACGGAGAGGAGATGAGAGGAGCCAACTTACAATATGTGGTCAGGATGGAGGGAAGGAATCGGTCATAGGGTTAGAGGAGGCTGAGGACACTGGAGGCTGCCGGGAGGGCCTGTGAGCAGACACCAACACATATGTTGAAGTTCCTTCCCTCCCTCGGACAGGGGCAGCTGTTGAGGGACACTGATGGAAAAAGTGATCTGAGGAACAGTAGATACAATACCTGGTCCTGAGGCCCTGAAAGGGAGGGAGATATCAAAATTTGAAGCCCTGAAGGAGGATGGTGGCAGGGACAGGAGGGTATGACCATGGTCATGGGGAGCCATGGAGGTAAGGTGCAGCTGGAGACTAGACAGCAAGCATTGAGGGCCTCCAGACCTTTGTGGTGGGCATGAACTGATCCAGTCCAGGGAAATGTAAATGCCTTCTTTCACTTGTGGTCTATTGTGGGCCCAGTAACCTCCCTGGGCTCCTTTTCCATCCATTGTGGACGTAGCTGCCAATCATGCCACTCCCTGGCTCCCTATTGCTTTGGGAGGATTCTGGCCCTCCACACTGCCTTCAGCCTCCCTTCCCAGCTTTGGTTCCCCGTGCTGTCCTTCCTGCTCCCTTGACTCTTCTCTCTTCTCTGAATTAATCTTGGTCCCATCTGAATGGAGATTAGAAAGTCCAACCTCATCACTGCTGCTCTGAGGCCGCCCCCTCCAAGAGGGCCTCCCTCCTGGAATTACCTTGTCCCTTACCTTCACATCCAGGAGTTTTCTGTGCCCTCAGAGAGGGGAGTGAGCTCCTGAAGGAGCCTCTGGGCCAGGTTGAGACTTCCCTTTGCTTACGCAGCCCCTCTCCTAGGGCTTGGTACAGAATAGCTGCCTAATTGTTTCTTGAGTTGAATTGAGGGGAAAGGCTGTAGACATGTTTAAAAGGTACAATAAGGAAACCTTTCTGAAGAGAGAGTTCCCCAAAAGTGGAGGGGGCTGCCCAGCTGGGAGTGGCTTCTCCTCCTCCCCAGTGGAGGCCTTGGAGCAGAAAGCAGAATCAGAAGCCCTGAAGGGTGGGGGCCCATTGAGGCCTGAGTCAGGAAAGAGTTCCTCTTGAGAACTGACTGAGGCCCTTCAGGCCATAAGGCCTGTGAAAAGATGGTAGTGCTGGAGGAAAACCGGGGAAGGTCGGGGCCATGAGAACAGGAGGGATCAGAGTGCAGTTAGCCGAGAGGCCCAGAAAAGCAAGACACATCCCCTCCCCTCCACTGTCCAATCCAAGAAGCTCCGTGAACAGGATGGCATACAACTGGACTTGCTTTCAAAATAAATCATGTTTTTTACTTGTCTTTTTACTGGGCTTGAGTGACAGTCAGCCATTTCATGCACTTTTACGCGTTACATTAGGAGATATTAGAAGCATAACTGCGTGAGAGCCTTTTGTTATGCTATTAGAGTCTATCTGTCACAGTGATGAGACAGGTAAATGTGGAGAAGTTTCCATTGCATGCCCCTGTAAACAGAAAGGAGTGGTTGTGTGCCTTCAGTATGTAACAAATCCACATCAGAACACCTTGAATTTGTGATGATTATGGAAGGCAAGTAGTCAGCCATGTGATGGAATCATTGCCTACATGGAAATGCAGCCCTTATTCTGGGTTCCCCTCTGCGCCCCCTACCCCAGCACTGTTGAATCGCCAAGGCATACGGGCTGAAGCTAAGAGTCCAGAAAGAAGGAATAAGACAAAAGTGATGAAGATTTTGTAACCCAAGACTGGAAGATGTTTGGAGAGTGCCTCATCTGACCCTCCCAGGCCCTCAAGGAGAGAGGTGCTGGAGGGTGCTCTTCCCTTGTTACCTTGGATGACTCCTGCCGCCTAAGAAGGACTGGTCAGCAGTGGCTCCTTTCATGGGGCATTGGGTCAGAGCTGCCGGAAGGGACCCCAGAGGCCAGCCTCTCCTGGGGAAGTTCACTCAGAGCTGGAATTCAGTTCAGGGCTTGCCTGCATGCTTCCTGTGGCGCCACACTCCTGCAGGAGAGCCAGTCCGTCACTACAGCAGTAGGTGGTGTGACCCGGGCCTCAGACTCCCAGAGGCCTAGGGCCTTGTCCGACTCCCTCATCAGAGTTCTTTTCAGAATTCCCTGATGGTACTTCCGGGCGGTTGGTCTGCTGCTGGCATTTAGATGGGCCTCTTCAGACTGCCTTCCAAGGGTCCTGCCGGTCTCGTTCTGAGTGGAGGCCTGTTGCTGACCCTGGCTATCTCCGTCCAGGGGAAGAATGGAAAGCAGGGCCCCAGGACCATATTTTGAGGTAGTCCAGGCATGTTGAAGGCTGTCACTCCCATTGGGGATGAGAATGTCCCTGAGAGACTCTAGCCCGCCTACTCAGTGCCCCATCACGAAGGCCAGGCTGGCCCGAGTAGAAGCCATGGGAGCCTCCTGGCCTGGAGGACATCAGCTTGGTCCCATCACCAGGCTGCACCTGCTTTCCATGGCTGGCTCAGCTCAGAGTAGCTGTCTGCTGGGGGCTGCTGAAATGGCCCGGAGGCCGTCATTGCCCCTCCACTTCTATGGTGACCATGCCAGAAGGGCAGGAGGGGGGCGAGGGGAGGGGCAGGAGCCACACAGTTGTTCAGCTGTGGAGAAGCAGTAAGTTGCTGTTGGCACTTGAAGTGTACAGTTCTCATGCAGTGACCACGTGGATGTGTCCAATGTGACGGCTTCACAGGCAAGGGAACCCCAGAACAGAAGGGAGTGGCGGCAACACAGAAGGCAGGCAGAGACCCAGCCATGCTGATGTGATTGGGCATCCAGAGGCACCCAGAACTACCTCCTCAGGCCTTGGCTCTTCTCAGAAGACTCCCCCGCAGAGAAAGTGCAGTGAATGGAGATTCGGACAGGTGCCGGGGGAATCTGACCAGCCATCCAAATTAAAAAAAGAAACAAAAAACTCTAACCTTGGCTACTTTGGTGCGAAGGTGGGAATAGGCAGGAACAGCCAACGACGTGGGAAAACTTGGTTGTGGAGTCAGGAAGGAGCCAGACATCGATGTTTCGTCGGTGACTCAGAATCCTCCTAGCTGCACTTCTGTTCTAAGGGAAGGAGTCGGGCGCTGGGCATGGCACCCCAAATCCCACCGCAGAAGCTGGTACTGGTTAGGTGGGCCATCCAGGCTGCAGCACGTGGCTGATGGGGTCACAGGAGACTCCTTAACGTAGGGTTGGAAAGTAGACTAGAAAGCAGGGTGAGTAGTTAGGGCAGCTTCAGGCTGACCAGAACATGAGCTGGGTTAGGAAATGCTGGGGACGGTGGTGTGCTTGGGACGCCAGGTTTAACTAAGGCCAGTCAGCCTTGCTGCGTACTCCTGCCTAGCTGCGGGCCCTGCCCCTGAGCACCTATCCCTGCACTGTGCTCTCCAAATAATCAGAAACAAGGACCAGCAGGTGGGCGTGAGCTGCTGCCCCCATTGAAAACGTGAAACTAGAAAGGAGGAGGAGACTGTGGGGTGTCACCAGAGAATGCGGGGTGACTGGGACATCTGACAAAAGATGGGGACAGTCCTATCCTCCATGCTTCCCTGAGCGTGAGCTTGTGAAAGGTCTCACCCAGCCTAGACAGGCAGAGTGGGTCACAGATGGCTTCCAGTGTCTCCAGCAGAGCCTTATTCAGGAGACCTATGGGGAAAGTCTCCCAATAGGCCACCCCTATAGCTGCGCTGCCACCGTGCGGACTTCACCAGGCTCTCTAGTGGCCCCTCCTTTACTCCCACACTGGCCCTGAAGGCCGATCCCAGCCCAATCAGGACCCATTGGCCCCTATGGATGGCTTGTGGGGAGGAGCTGACTTTGGGCAGCACCCAGCTGGATGGATGCAGGGCATTGTAGGTCTTTCAAGGGGAGGGCAGCTGGGAATAATCAGTGTGCTGGGCAGGCTCAGATTCAGTAACGAGTGCCCAGTGATTTCTGCCCAAGAGGTGGGCTGTAAGTCACTCCTCAAGCAGCTGGACCTGGCAAAGGAGGAGCCTGTGTGAGGGGGCAGGGTCTTTCTGTGCCCAAAGGCAGGTAGGTGCCTGTGTGGGTGGTTAATTATACAAATAAGAGAAAAAGCAAATGATGGCTGGGTGCCAGGTCAAGTCTGGCATCCCTGCTAGGATCCACAGCAAAGCTGAGCAGCCGCTTCCCACAGAGCCCCACGATGAGCTCTTCTTGCTTTGAGATGCTGTCGTGCTTGTGAGATCCTTTGAGCAATGTTTTAAATGTTTTTAGAGTATTTTGAGCCAACCTCCAGAGGAGTGAAGTTAGGGAGTGTGGGCCTCCTGCCATGGGATCAGTGGCCAGGCCTGTGCCCCCAACCTCTCCAGTCTGGCAGGGACCCAGGGCCAGCCCCACACCCTCATAAATCGCCAGCGTATGCCATAAGTGAAGACCTCAAGCGTATAGAATCCATTTCTTTACATTGGAATGACATTATTTAAGCCAGGGGTTCTTCACCAATTTTTTGTGTGTGTCCATCCCCATGGGCAGTCTGGTGAAGCCAATGGGCCCATTCTCAGAATTGTGGTTTTAAAGGCATAAAATAAAGTAGAACTAAAAAGTTTTGAGACCAAATATGTTGAAATGCCAAAGATTTTTTAAACAAGGTGTCAGCCCCTCATTGAATCCAAATTCACCTTACACATGGAGAAATTGAAAATAAGTGACGTAAGATGATGTTAGTCTTTCAATTTTTAATGAATTAGTCTCTGTAAATTTAACTTTTTAACCTTTGTTTGAAAAAGAAGTACTCAAAACATAGGCAGAAAGTCAGTAATGGGCTGTCTCTTCTTTGTTATGGTTTTTTTCTGTTTTATCGGGATTATATGGTTCTGCAGAAAGCTATCCATTCCAAACAGGGAAATGAGTAAACCTTCCCATAAACTTGTTTTTAGTAGTTCATAAATTCAAAAATTCTGATTTATACATGTATCCATGCTTTGTGAGGGAATTTTCAATTCACAAATGTTACCTTCTCCTTTGACTCCTGCCAATACAAATATTGGCTAAGTACTCCTGTCACTGTGCAGGCCATTCCTATAAAGCAAGCCCTCAGTTGGTGTGTGTGAAATTGAAATGAGTGCCATCATATTCTGTGTCTGTATCGATCTGTGTGGAGAGTCTCGGCTCTGTGGGTGGCTCCAGACCAGAACAAGCCCTGTGTCTAGCCTCTGATATGCTGCTGGCCACCGTGGGCCTTTCACCTTGGCTACCACGCATCACTGAAGAAATACCTACAGGCCATAGTGAGATTTTGTGACCCTTAAAATGCATGTGCATTCCTAACAAGCCCCCTTCAAGGGGCCCTTCCCCCAATGCAGGTGCCTGCCTGGAGCTTCTTCACCTGCCTGCTGCCTCTCTGCCTGTCAGGGGCCTCTCCACCTGCCCAGGGCCTCTTCGCCCGAAGCCAAACCTCCCCACCCCTCTTCCCGTCAGTGACCTCTGGCCCCACCTCCTTCCCCTCCGTGTTTACCCTTCCAGAGCCAGTAAAAGAATTTTGCCACTGAATTGAACAGCTGAGCTTTAATTTTCAAATGTTATTTGTTGTCTACAATTGCCTTCCACTATGTCATAAATATTTTTATAATTAGATGTTTTGACATTTGGCAGGGGGAATGTTTAATATGGAATAAGTTTGAAAAGCTTTCTTTATTCTGGGGTCTGGGGATGAGGCTGTCATTATTTGCAGCATTTAAAATTTTTTCCTCTCTTTTGCAGCTTTTTAATTAAATGAAACCCTGCAGGATTTGCCCAAGATGAATGTTTACCAGGAAGGTAAACTGTACCTGATCTTGATCCTGACCCCAACGTTATGTTCTCTAGAATCTTTGGTGGTTCCACCAGTAACTGTGATAAGTTAGACCCATCTTGGACGGAATTCATTGTGCATTTTGCTAGTGAAAATAACAGACTGTGGAATTTTTGGAAAGACATGATGGAGGTAACACCGCCTTTGGAGAGGACACATCAGACAGCTATTTGAGGGCATTATTTATTTCCAGTGCATGGTACAGGATTGGAATGAAATTCACAGTGTTATTGAATCGTTCAGGAATTGGTCAAAAAACCCCAAATGTAATTGGTGTCAATGTTCTTGCCAGTGTCCCAGACATCAGCTATATGCATGAAATCCACGTTCTATGTGTATGAATTAGTCCTGTGGCTGTGATAAAGTCAACGAGCTCTCCCAAGCAGTGTTTTCTTTGGGGAGAATGTGGTTTGGTGGAGGGGCCTGGGCAGTCGATGGAATACCTTGTTGGGACCAGCACTGTGACACCTCGGGACCACCCTTAGGGTCCAGGTTGACCCCAGTGTCTCCCTTGGGCGTACGCACTAGAGAGATCCGCGGGTTTCTGCAGTAAGCCTGTGAAATGGGCAGGGGACCCAAACTGGGAGGGAGAGCCAAGAGATAGAATTCTGGAAATGAAGGGATGGAGGAAGAGTTTAAAGAGAAAACTCTTCAGAAGTCCAACATAAGAGGTGAGGCGAAGTGAGATGGCCATTTGAAAAAGAACTGGAAGGTTTGGTGGACTCTGCCAGCCCAAAAGAGCAAATGGAGTCATGGGAGTGCCCAGGCCTGCGAAGGTGAATGCAGCACTCTCCTGCATAGCTCTGGGCTCCACTTCTTAGGAAGGACTGGTGCCCTGAGAAGGGCAGCGGGGCTGGAGGAGGACATTGAATAATCGGAAGGGACTGAGAACACTGGACCTCAGTCAGAGAAGGTGGGGCAGTCCAGAGGGGCAGGGAGAAAGCAGGGGAGCAAGTAGACATGTGGGGCTTCCAGCACTGCCCTCAGGAGGTGGGATGAGCCTTGGGGTGGGGGGAGGGGGCTTGTCAAGAGGTGGATTTAGGCTGATGTCAAGAAATATGCCTCCTGACCATTGGGGCTTTTTGAGACTCGGAGGGAGATAGTGGGTGCCTCCTACCTGAGGACTTCAGGCAAAGGCTAGGTCATGGGTTGTGCAAGGGCTTGTCCTTCAGGGCTGGCTTGCACTAGAGGGCCTGGAATGGGGGGGTTGGGATTGGAGTGGGGAGGTGTCCCTTCCAGGGCTGAGGTGTGTGATTCTAGCTTCAGTAGGAGGAGTTACTGGGCACACTGGCATTCCTGGAGTCAGAAAGAGAACAGATGATAAAGCAGGTTCTTAATTGAGTGAGCTTTGGGGGTCTTCGGGTTGGGGGCAGGGACCTTAGTGGAACACCCCCAGGGCTGTGTTGGGGCCTATTGCCTGATTTTGATTGCCTTCAGAACCCACGTCCAGGCAGGGCAGGGCTTTCCACATTCCATCAAAGCCCCACTAGGGAATGCTGCTGAATTCATTTTGCTGAAGGAGCTGCTGCCCAGTGTGGTCTTAGACTCATAGAACCTCAGAGGTCGTTGGGTCCTATGCCTACCCGAAGAGGAAGCCATTCTGCCACAGTGGAGGGAGTGGTCATCTGGCCTGTGTGGAACATTAGGAGGCTCTCTATATTGAGTGTAACCCCCACCCACACTTTTAGCATGTCTCCCAATTCTCCCCATGCTGCACTGAAATAATTGCCAGCCCTCCCACTGTCCTGGTTGTGCTCATGGGGTGACAGGACCGAGGAAGTGCTTTTGCTGCCAGGTGTGGCCCAACCAGGTTAGAGGGCAGCAGGACTGGCCTCTCCCTTGTTTTGGTCTGCCATGACCCACTGCTAATTCTGTTTGGCTTGGTGACCTCCACCTCTCATGCAGTGGCCCCTTCAGTGTTTATCCGTTTCCCAAGTACGTCATGGAGGCCAGGTGAGAAGACCATTTGCCTGAGAAAGAGCTGGGGGAAGGAAGATAGCCAGCCTTCCCTGCATCTTTTCTCCTGAGGTGGTGGGTCTTCCAGTCCACTCTGGGATCTTGTTGCTGCTCCGGGTTTTGGGGGTGGGAGGGCCAGGGTGTTCTGGCCATCATACCAACCAGAAACTACAGATCCAACAGGAAGCATTGAATTGTCAGCAAAACAGGAAATCAAGCAACAGAATCCTCCCCCTTCCCCCATCAACAGGCACCATCTCATTTCCCGTAGACTCCCATGGAAACCTGGGGAAGGGAAGGACATTCCAAGAAAGGAAGGCTTGTGCAGCACCCAGTTTGCACACCTCCCTGATCTCAGTTCTCATTACTTGGCCCCCATCACCCCATGCCAGGTCACTTTTGCAGGGGTTATCAATCCGCTGAAGCTCCTCCCACCAGCAAAGTCGCCACCTGTGGTATCCCAGCCCCATCATGGTGCTTTGACCATCATCCCTTGCTACTCCCATGATGCACTGCAGCAATCCTACTTGTTAGGTCTGGGTGGAACCACCACAAAGGAGGTCAGTCTGGGATGGGGGGCAGAGTCAGGGAGGCCAGATGGCGAGCTGGTGACCTTTCCCCTTTGTTCCTGCTGCCACCTACCCTACCTAGGTCCACCCCCTCTTTCGCTTGAGTAAAATAATCCTGAGCTAGTAGGGCAGCGTGTGATCTCGTTGTATTCTCATAACCATCCTAGGATGAAGGTACTGGTATCCTCATTTTAAAGATGAGGAAACTGAGGCAGAGGTAACGAGACTCACCCAAGAGCTGTTTACTGTCTGCCATAGGATTCACACTTATGTCTCTGCCCCTAAATCCAGTAGCTTTCGTCTGCACCTCCTAGCAGTCTTAATGAGATGTGGCATCCCTCCACTCCAGAGCCAGAGTGATTAGAGTTCACTGCCGAATTCAAAGAGAAGAAATACTAGCCGAGATTATATGGCCAGGAGAGGAGAGCACCACCATTGTGGGAGCCAGCTCTTTGGGAAACCACACCCACCAGCTCTTCTGTGTCCTCCATGGGAGCCATGGGAAACAGATTGTACTGCACATACGGAGCCTAATTCTTCTCCCGTAGGGAATGGATGGGTTTGTTTGTATTTTCCTGATATACAACATTCAGAAAGTGCAGCCCATAGTAAACAGCTATTTGTTTTTAAACACGTGTTACTCGTTCCTTAAAGCTTAATGTTATATGACCTGATCTCACCAGTCCTGTGGCTCCATGCCGGTTATGATGGGGAGTAATCCCCTTATTCATGTTAAGCAGTTTTTTCTAACAACCTTTTCCCCTCAAGTTCAATCCCTACTAATAAGAATAAATAGTAGACTTGTGTGTATCCCTTTAATAACTCCCAGGCAGTGCTCGGTCTGTCTCCCAGCTCTCAGATCAAAGTAATAGTCAATAAACATTTATCAAGCACCTCCTCTGGGCCAGGCACCCTGATAAGCACTTTGCTTTCAGGGCCCAGAGGAAACACTTGTCCCTCTGAACTGCACATCCCAGGATGTCCATCAGTTCCTCACATTTCTCCCTGGGACTTGGGATTTTGCCGTCCTGAGAGACAGAGAAAGAAAGTATCTGGGACTACAAAATGGTCAGAGACTTGGGGAGCCAATATGGGAAGAATTGGGGCTGTAAGATCAAGTGAAAATAGAAACCCAGGAGTATATAGAGTCATGGCAATTGTAAGAGGGAGATTGGGCTGGGCCATCTGCGGGCACCTTGGCACGTGGGCACAGGCCAAAGCTGCCAGCAGAATTCACCTCTTCGAGGATTGAGGGAAGACCTGCCTCCGGAAAAACAAGCCTCACAGAGCTGCTCTCTCCTTGACTTTCCCTCCCTGTGCCTATCTGGTAACAAACACTAACATGCTCTGCTTGCTTCTTTTACCTATATTTCCTGCATCCTATTTTTTTGCCTCAGATATGGAGAAGCCAGCGATTAGATGGAGATACACAAAAACGTAAGTTAGGACAGAGCCAAACCTGTCTCAATGTTAGGAATCTGTTTAACTGGGACTCCAAGCCATTGTGATTTCTTTATGTCTCTAGCATCCAGCTGGCACATGGTAGATGCCAATAAATGTTAATAAACATCCATATCAAATTTTTTGTCTGATAAGGATTCCATAAAATAGGTGGCAGGGATGGATGGAGGATACCAGCTCCATAAAATAGATACCAGTGCATGTGAGAGCCATTTTATTGCCCCAGGCTAAAAAGTGAGATCATCACTCTAACACAGTATGGTTGATTGATTTTGCGGGAAGAAAAGGATCATACCCTAAATAATAAGTAGTGTATATTATATATTAAAATAAACATAATGAATAATATGTTAAACATATACTAAATATAACATTAAATAAATAAAATATGTTTATTATCTATATGTTTATTACATATAAAATAATAAAACCTTAATAACAGGATTTGTTCTGTGAAATTTGGATTCCGTCAGAGGGCTGCACTTGAGGACCTAGAGGGCCACATGTGGCCTGGAGGCTGCAGGTTTCCCACCCCTGCCTAAACCATTCCCCAGGGAGATGATAGGAAAGGCCTGAGATGGATTCAACTCTGCTTCTATCTAGTAGGGAGGCAGGAGAAGGGACCACATGCCACCAACCATCTCCACTCTTTACAGCAACACTCTCTGGTGCTAAGAACACTTGTATCACCAGCAACACAAGATTCTTGTGTGGAAAACACTGTCAACCTTAAAGTAATGTTGAAGCACAGATCATCATAATAAATCGTTCTTCTCAAGAATTTTTGAGTAACAAAACCTGTTTGGTATTTATTCCAAAAAGCTTTCTAAAGACAATGAGGTGGGGCGGCTAGGTGGCACAGTGGATAAAGCTCCTGCCTTGGAGTGAGGAGGACCTGACTTCAAATCTGTCATCAGATACTTCACACTTACTAGCTGTGTGACCTTGGGCAGGTCACTTAATCCCAATTGCCTCATCAAAAAAAGCAAAAATAATAAGAATAAAGACAATGAGGTACCTCACTTTCATGTTGCTTACATCTCCCACAACCTCATAAGCCATTGAGATATGATCAGCTCCTATTCTGCTTCCCAAACCCAAGATTCCATGGC